TCCTCCTCCATCAACTGACAGCATCCATTTGGTAGGAGCACAGAGTATAGGACTCCTCCGACCTGCTCCTGGGATGCAGCAGGGTCACCCTGCACGCAGGGGCTAATGAACTCTTTGCGAGTTTGATGCTGCCTGTTATACATCACCTCAGAGCCAGCAGTGCAATGGGAGTCTACACACTGCTCCACAGTTCCCTGGCTTGGCCTCAGCAGCTTGAACAAAGCTGCGAGGAAGCCCCAGTCACTCTAAGGGTTATTCTGCAGGGCTCACCCTCACAGCTCCAGTACAGAGTACTTCCATGGGGACCACAGCTTCAGATATACTTGAGCTAGCTCTGTACTACTCTTAGCAGCATGGCCTCACTCAGCTCCAACCCACTTTCTCATGCAGCTCATGTTGCTCCTTTGGCACTTAGAAGCTAGAAAACTAGGCTAGACAGAGCTTTCTTCCAACCCTATAGAGCAAAGGTGGATTACATTCTTGTGTCATTAAAGGAGGGGATTTTTTTTAAGTGCCTTAACTTCCTATTTCTGATGATCAGCCTCCAATCCAGGCTGCCAGCAGACTGTCCCCCTGTGCTGACTGACTCCTGTTGCAAGCATGCTGCCCTCCCTCTGCAGCTCTCACTGCTCCTGAGAGTAGTCCTTGCTGATGAAGGACTACTGCAGGATTATGCAAGCCTCAAGTATTTTCTACAGGAAGGACATTGAAGGAACATCAAAACAGATGCTGCTGCTAAATAACAATGATTCTAGGCACCTCAAGCATCCTTGCACTCTCACCAGAGATGCCTTTTCCCAGTGCTCACAGACCGATGGAATACTGCTCAGGGCGCTCAAACTTTCAGGCTGAGATTCCACATGAAATGCCCTTAAAGCTTGACAATGTGGGGGGATCCTGTCTTGCAGTCAGGGCCAAAGCATAACCATGGGTCTCCAGAGCAACTCGGAGCAGCCGCAGCTCTCAAGGAACACCTCTTCCATTTGTCCCTATACCTCTGTAAGATCAGGACTTACACACAAGAGATGTGGAGTTTAACGCTCAAAGAGCTTCAAAACTTACTCAGAAAGCGCTGGAGAAGTAGGTGTTATTAAAGGATAAGGCCCTTGCTAGCTCTGCTGGCCACGATCCTTCAGCCAGACTGCTTCCTCCACACCATACACAACATAGCCTCACTGGCTAAACCTGCCAGGTCCCAGCAGCAGATCACAGGATCTGTGTCCCTCTATCTGTCCCCGCCATCACCCCACATCCCTCCCATGAACACAGCAGCCTCTCCAAGCAGATCCCAGCTGGTCTGTTCCTGAGCTGCTGTGCTTCTCACAGGCAGCCTGTCTCACGCTCTCATCCTCCCTAATCCTGCCGAAATCAGCAAAAGTCCAGCTGAATGTTTGGTCCTTAAACATTTACACTCCAAAACAGCTTTTCCTTTTAAACACTGAACTGCCAGCATGTCTGGATTTCATCTTTCAGTGCCTCTAGAACATCTTGCTTTTCACACTTTTTGTTTCAGACAACGCAGAGGAAAGAGTTCACAGGGCAAAGTGGTGGGTGTAAGAGAGGCTCTGCTTATCAAAGTGTTCTCTGCAAAGGCACAGAGAAGAGAAAAAACAGCAGGTCAAGACTTGGCTAAGCAAAGCAAGCTTGTATGAGAGACCTTTAACAGCATCATTTGGGGACTCTTTTGGCAGCTATAATCATCAAGGTCAATTATGCACGGCTGACAGCTCAGTAAAAGAAACCATTTTCCAAATACAGATTAAGAAAAAGTCATACCCAAACCCAAATGAGTCCCTCTGCATGTCAAAGCAAACAGGTCAGCTCCCTGCGCTGCTCTGCTCCAATGTGCGCGGTGACTAATAGAGGCTGTTCTTGAAGCCAGGAGGGAGTAAGGTTTGTGCAATGATTTCACCTGTATCCCCAGCAGCTCAGATGAGTTGTCATGAGTCAGAAACTTGCAGCAGGGAATGCAACTGAGATGTGGAGGGTAGATGTCCTGGTCCATTTAAACTTGAGGGGGAGGCGAGCTCTGTCTGTGTGTGCAGGAGGGCCCAGGAAGACCAGGGCTGGGGTGCTGGGACAGTGACGCCGCAGCACAAATGCCTGGCAGGCCTCAGGCAACAGGGAGTTAAACCACTCACATCCACACCCACCGCAGGCCTGATTTCCTGCACTGCTGGGACTGCTGGACATGGTCACCAAGACTGTACGTGGCTCAAAGTGCTGGGAAATTCACCTGGAATTATAGCACCTAACAGCTTCTGCAGCTTCAGTGTCATGATTCGGCATTCAGAGAGCAGTGATTCACCGTGAGCTGCAAGGAGAATGCCCAAGCTGCAAGGAGGTGTGCAGGGCGCAGCTGCCGGATGCATGCACAGAATCCCCCTCTGCCTTGTTTTATTGCCACAAATGAGCAAACATTGGAACTGTTCATATATTCTCAGGGCATCTTATGGCAAGGCAAGGCCAGGTGAGGCTAGCAAGCCCCTTGTTTCATTATGTTTGAAGCACAGTGTTACCCATTATACTAGCTACTGTGCATTGAGCACCACAGAAGTGAGGCTGGTGCCATCCTCACTCGAGTTGCAAGGCTTCAGCAGTGTTTTATCTGAAACTTCAACAAAGCAGAAGGAACACTGTGAAACAGAAACGGGGAGAGCACGAGTCACAGCAACAGGAAAGGAGTCCCTCTTTAATTTGCTGCATTGTAACTAGACACATCTTTTGACCTTTGCTGAGAACTAGACATGGGAAGAAAAATACATGGCAACATCTCATCCACCAGGAAATAGTGCCCAAGTACTTACTACAATAGATTTCTTCCTTTTCCTCAATCTGATATTAAAAGTTTCTAACAATGAAATGGCATTTCCTTCTTTTGAGACACTAAACAACGCAAGAATATCACCAAACACTCCCTCCCACACCTGCCATACTGTTTTTATCCTAGTTTCACCACACTCCACTGCTCCTTCTCAATCCCATCTCAGCCCTGTTTGAGAGAGACACAATGACATACTCCTGGGGGGGCCATCAGGGCTTCCTCAAAATTAAGATTCTCCCAGCAGGCTGAGCTATCTTTGTCCTAGACCGCTACCTGCTCTCACCTTGTCTGGCTGAGCTTCGCTTGTCCGAGGGCTACGGGCATTTCTCTCTCACATACTGAACTAATCTATTAAAAAATGACTGACCCACAGAGATATAAAATGCACCTTCTTGGCCGTATTGGTCTGTTCTCAGCCCCAGGAGCTTGTTCCTGCCTCAGTACTCCTCCCAGCAGTTCAAGGGACACAGCTGGTCATGGGGCCATGCTGTTAACCAGGTAAGACATTTTCTAAAAACTCTTCAAAAAAAAGAAAAAAAAGAAGAGTGGAGATTTTTTAACCCCAATCAGTTCTCTGCATCTGGAATTTCCTCAGCAATGTTATGACCAGGAACCACCACAGGGAACTACGGCTTCTCTATGAATCACCCAGATATGTAAATCAGTAACTCAAATTTTAAACAAACAAACAAAAAAAAAACCACTTGGGAATCAATGCACACAGTCTGTTACCATCTTCTGACTAAACTAGGAGCATATTCAAATTGAAACAGTATATTCAAACACTTATCAGTCACCTTCCATTCGAGCATCTACGTCAACCCAGGGAGTAGCTACCATCTCGCTTTTCTGATGCAATGCCTGGAATCACACCTACCACCTGCCCGAGCTCTCTGGGACAGGGACCATCTGTTTCTTCAGCGGCTGTAGAACAACCAGCACAACAGGACTCCAGCTCTGACGGGGCATCTTGGTGCCAACGCAGGACAAATAACCTGCAGTCACAAGGCACAAGGAAATCTTCCAAGAGATACAGGTTAGTGGAAAATTACCCATTAAAAGAAAAAAATAGCACTGTATTGACTGAGGTTTCAAGCTAACAAAAGAAACAAAAGTGGAAAGGGTATTGTAACAAGGGCATTCACCTGACAAATGAGCTAGAAG